TACTTTTTAGTTTTACTAAATGAACATTTCTAAGAAATGCTTGGCTTTCTTTGGTTACCATGGACAGATCTTATTTACGAAGATAGAGAGCTATGGGCACACAAATCAGGATTACTTTGTTGCTCTGATATCAGATATTTTCTTTACTTGTTAATGAAGTGACAAATGATTAAATGAAACAAATTTTCTTTTTTTAAATTTATATCACTTTTTTAATTGTAATTTTTAAAAAATTTATAGACAGAGTGTGTTGCTTTGTTGACCAGGCTGATCTTGAACTCCTGGCCTCAATCAGTCCTCCCACATTGGCATCCCAAAGTGATGGGATTACAGGTGTGAGCCATCATGCCTGTCCTTATATCTCTTCTTCATACATCAATGTTATATTATTGTTACCATTTTATCCAGGTGCCAAATTATACCTTGATACAATTTTATATCACATTAATATAAATTAATTTTATATCATTAAAAAGATAACTTATGCAAAAGGCTTGTTTTGTTTTTAAACCAAAATGGTCTTAAATTTTTCAAATTTTAAAGTTCATATACTAACCTTGGATGAATAAAGATAACACTTAAGTGATAATTCTGAACACTCCTAAAGTAAGTTGTAAGGTCATAGCTATGATTTCCCTCTATGGAACAAGGAAAAAAACAAAAAAACAAAAAAAAAAAAACAAAGGAAAAAACAGAACATGCTTACTGGGAAATGTCCGTATTACAATTAGCAATGAGGCTATAGGTTTATATACCAATTCACTATTACAGTGATACCAAATGGCATTTTTAACATTTTGTATGTGCTGGACATGTCAGGAAATATTGGCCTCCAAAAAATATATGACAAATACAAGTAAATATGAAGAATAAGGTATGGATTAACAAAAATCCGTAAAGTCAATATTGGAGTAGAATTTGTGGTTAGAATTTATAACAAGTGAACAGTTAAGATTTGGGGAAATTTAAAAATATTATAAAGAACATGTAGTTTCTTGTCTATGGTATTATAATGGGAAAGGTATGATAATACTCAGTTTACCTGGGGAAATGTTTGAGAGTAAATTATCTTACAGAAATGTGACTTAAGAGTAGCTAACACATTCCCAAGATAAGAAGTTTTGAGACTCTAATGTTAACTTCTGTTTGGTGTATAAAAAAGAAGCTAATGTAAGATAGAAATATAAATTTTTGAGCATGATTTGAAAAAAATATTAAAAAATTAAACTGGGGAAACAATTATGACACCAGAATTCAAGGTGAAAGTTTCCAGAAAGTAAAATTAATGTCTCCAGTTTAGAAGACTTACTTTTGTTGAAAGGAATAACAACAACAACAACAAAATTTTTTAGAGTATAATTGTGTGAGATTTTAATAAAAATTAGCATAAAGTTAATAAATACAAAAGTTTCCAAATAGTTAATGAGGAAAACTTTAGTTATTTAAGCTTTTTGTAGCATTTCTTTTTATACTATATTCTTTTTTAGCTTTTAGTGGAACTTGTGTCAAATAACTTTAAAATTCTAAACTTAAATATTTATTATGTAAATTAGCTTATTTTAATCAGCTTCACTTTGAACTTTTGGATATTATAAAGAATAGTGAACATAGTTTTGTTTGAAGACAGATAATCATTCAGATTTTTATAAGAAAATAAATTTGGTGAAGTTAATGACATCTCATTTGAAAAATCACCATGAAAATTTTCTTTTAAAAAACTGTTATAATTCAGAGTGATTATATATATTTTCATAGCTTATGAGCTAATGGTTAGCTTTAAAACTTACACTTTATAATTATTGCAAGTTTATTATATATGCCCCCTAATTAGCACAGGATTGGAGTTTTAAGAGAGAGGGAGGTGGTGAGGCTGGAATGTGAGAACATGTCATCCTCTTGAAATAATAGCTTTTATTCCTATAAATTCCTTTTCCCACCTCTACTTACATTATAATTATGAAAACAAATTCCTATGCCTAAATCAAATGTCAAATGTCTGAATAGAGATGGCTCCATGTCCTGCTATAGCACCTTAAGAGAAATCATTATTAATAACTAATAGGTATGTACTTCCTTATTCTTTCTATAAAATCATTTTTTTCATCATTTCAGCAATGCAAAATATGTATCATATGAAATAAATTATTCTGTATGTAACTGACACCAAAGTTAACAATAGCAATACTCATATCTCACTATGGAAGTAATTTTCTCTCCTCCTTCAAAAGATGCCACATTGTAATTAAATTGATGTCCTTTTCAGCATGTCCTCTCTATGTCGTTTCCTGCCTGCCTTATATATCCTTGCTGTTCCAGGTTCTCCAATCTTCACAACCAAATAATGTTTCATTTAAGCAAGGCCTATGTCTTCTATGGAAATCCCATATTGTACCCTTCCTTTGCACAATTAATGTTCCTAATTATTTTCATCATTTTTTTTGTTGTTTATTTGTGCCATAGAGGAAAGTTCACTAATGTGGAGGTCAATTCAATTTGGCATGAAATTCTAGCCACATAACATGTCTGGCTTTCCTTCTCAGTAAACATGGAACAATGTTATCTGCTTCATAGATTTGTATGGATAATTACATTAAAACTTAGTGTAATATCTAGAACAATGTGTAGCATGTGAAGGTTAATTCTTCTTTATCTTGTGACTTCATTTGCTTTACTGTGTCCTGTTTGTTTGTTTTTTCCCACTACAGTAGGGGCTGTGAGAAAAACTGTTCTGCTAATTCACATTTTCTGTAATATCTATGGTGATGAATATTTAGTATACATATTTGAGAGAATGAACAAATAATTCATCTAAATGGCAGCTTATAATTTCTTCTAGTGATGAAAGGCTGTATACACATTTATCTCCTATTTATGTGTATGTATGTGTATATGTATGTGTATGTGTGTGTGTGTGTATGTACATATATCTCCTAATACCAGCTTTTGACTCTCATATACTCCATGGTCACAGAGGAAGGCAAAAAAGACACAGGAATAGAATGTTGAGATTTGCTAGGATATAGCATTGTGGTCTTGTTCATGAATCTGTCAATTACCTGTCAACTTAAATATCTGTCTTTAAGTATCTGTCAGTTATTTTGTGCATGTTAAATAATGTAATTTAAAATTAGAAATTGCTTTCAAAATTTTTGAGTTATACCCTTAATGACAATTGAGAATAGATTTTCAGGTTTTCTTGTGAGTCAGAGTTGGGTAAGCGAAAACGAAATGAAAATGTTGGACATATTTTCACTTAGTTTCTGTTTTATTTCAACCACATATTTCATTTCTTGTCTTTGCTTTCTCTATTTGTAAAGGTAAAATGAGCTTTGTTTTTCATTATATCTATGAAATTAAAGAAAAAAATTTTTATATCTATTGTGTCCATATTTAGTGCTGTAGGAGATTATGTATACGATAGTAATCAATAAATATTTTTTAAATTATCAAGTAATCTTGATCTTGCTTCTTATGGATACCCATTGAAAGGATGAGTAGGATAAAATAAATGCCAATGCTATAGCACCTACCACGTGCCAGCATTGTTCTGGGCTATTTTTATGTACTTTATGTAATTAAAAATTACAAATTTTAATTTAACTCGTTTAATGTTCTCATAACCATATGAATTAAGTAATATCACCCCAGTCATTACATAGATAGAAAAATGGAGACACTATAGTTAAATGACCATAGACAGGAAAACTGAGAATCTATATAGTTAAATGACTTGCCCAACGTAGTTGAACAGTAATTGAGATCAGGTTGTCTGACTCCAGAATCTGTGGTCTTAACTACCATGCCATAAATAACAATATCAAAACACTGATTAATTTGTGCAATTTTGCCTTGAAGACTTTTGTTTTTGTTTTGACAGAATAAAGCTTATTAATAGATTCCTCATTAATCAATTTTGAATATCCCTTTTCAGCAGATTTTTACATTTAATTCTAAAAATCTGAAATTGTTTAAAATAAGTATCAATCTCCAGGACAGAAAAAATAAAAGAAAGACAGAAAGAATGAAAGAAAAAATAAAAGAAGAAAGGAAGGAAAGAAGTCCCAATTTGTGCTTCATTGATCAGTTTGAAAGGTGCTGATTGTAAAGATGATGTCTTCAGGATTTGGATCATGTTCCTTTTGTATTTTGGTTTCCTAAGATAAATCTGTGAAGACTTAAGAGGAGGCCACTACACTAGTTTGGTTCAATAAAGTTACTTTTTCAGTGCTTAAAGTTATTAATGTTTGACAACTCTAAGCCAGATTCCTCGTCTTGAATTGTATGATCCTGGAGAATAGGTTGCATGTTTTCTTCCGTATCCTATTCCATGTTTCTAGACCACTGCTTTGTATTTCAGTGAGCATTCAACTAACCTCTGTTGAATGAATTAATTATATTTAAACTGCATTTTAATTTAGTTTGTATCTATATGCTTACTGTTAGAAATAAGGTGTTTAGAATAACATAAAGGAAATTTTAGACATAATAGTCTATCTTTAATAATCATAAATTGTGATTTAAGCATACCTTGCCTTGATTTCTAGTACTGAGGCTTTTGAAAGTCAGACAAAGAGTAACATCTTTTATAAATATAAATCTATGATGTTCACAGATTTGCAGAGATGTTCAGAAACGTTATGTAGTTAATATGCAGACTAATTTCTGCAATGAATATTGCAGCCAGAAATGAAAGTAAGACATATATTTACCTTTTGTTTTAAACTTACTTATGGTAACAGTGATGAATGAAATATTTTACTATTCTAATGTTAACAAAATTATACTGTGGGAAAGGGTCACACAAATTAATCTCCAAATCTCTTTATATATATTAAAATCGGTATATTTAAGTTAATTTGTTCAGTAGAGACTGAATTGTTTATTTCATTAAGATATGAGGCCAGGATAGAATCATGATGATAACATATGTATTATATAAATAATGCCTTTAGATTACTTATTTTATTCAATAACCTTTTTTTTTTTTTTCTTTTTTGCAGGTTTCAGATTTGGAACATTGGTGTTTCTATTCCGGAGGAATTTTTCTTTTTCTTTTTAATTTAAAGAACAATCGTCAGTCTTGGAATACAGAAGAGGAACTAGAAATACACGTATTTTGTTCCATATTTGAACACTCCTTCTTGAAGAATACTCCCTACCTGAGTAGACAGCCATGTGGCCATCGCAGCTACTGATTTTCATGACGCTGTTAGCTCCGATAATTCATGGTAAGATCTTTCAGTAGATTTTTGTGTAATGCTTAATGTTGTCTCACATATTCATACTAGACCCTACCTTGGAATCTTTGCTCTGAGATTACTTTGTAGTTTTTTCTTACCTTATGTTAGTATGGAAAAGTTAAAAGAACATAATATTTATTTTAAGCTGAAATAGTTATGACTTTTCAGTTGCATTTCTTAAAGTGCCTGTTGAAATGTATTTATAACCAAATGGCTTTTTTTAAAAAAAAAAAAAAAAAGCTCTTGTATTTTATTTTTTGTCTTTACTACATTATTTGGAAAATCAGCTGAATTATTATCTCATTTATTGTGAATTTTTTGGTTTACATATTTTCATACTTAAACATTTTTAATGTAGCAAATTTGAGCATTTGACAGAAAACTCTAAAAGTAAAATCCTACTTATTCAAAAGTATCTGCTTTCCCAAACCAAGTAATTATTTTTTTTCTGAGTACTAAGTACTTTGCACTATCTTTAATATACAGAACACAAACTAAAACCTCCCAATAATGGGAAATTGTTGCTGTACTATACCTTGTAATGCAGAAACACAAACAAATAAAAAACCAAAACAACCCAACAAGAAGATAATATTAAGGTACGTTTTCACTTTTTAAAGAAAGGTGATTTTATGGAAACATGCTAATATTCTTAATAGACATGTGTACTTAATGTTGTTCATTTAGATATCTTGCATTTTTAACAGAAATATAGTTTAGGAATGATGTACCTTTGCAAATATTATAAAATATATCACATTATTTAATATGTAAGTGAGACATTTACATCTGTACAACTTGGTATAATATTCACCGAATATCTCTAAAACCTGATAAATTAAAGTCTATGTGTATGTTCCTCTTACACAATTTAATGTTTTTGGCTAATTATCATTGATTTTTTACACTAAGAAGAAAACATTGTAATATAGACACTCTCATATGTTGATGATAATTATAGCAAAGAAAAAAGGGCACAGCTGTATTTGTCACTGCTTAGGAGGTCTCAGAATATTATAGTGTAGCAAGCAGCTGAAATGAATTTTAGCCTCTTTAGCTCACTTTTGGTTTTTAATTGACTATAGAAACTCATTGTAGTTCATCAGTGATGCAATTCTGAATCTGGCCTGTGTTCTTAAGTTTTAACATGAATTACATTTTTCTCTGTCATTCTAAATACTGGGTAAAATAACTTCTTTTGAAGTTTTCCTCTAAAGTCCCCTGGCTGCAAAATACTTAGTTCTAATAATTCACTTTATGGTAGAGATGTTTTTAAAATGGGAGTAAAATCTTACTAATTCAACCATCTTGTTTTAAGCTAATTTGTCCATAATTTCAAAATATTTTCTTAATCTTATACTGAGAATGTGTCACATTCTCTGCATGGGCACATATAACATTTTGTGATGTGGGAAAATAAAAATAACTATTTTACTTGAAATGGTGCTTTTCTAATTATCCATATATTAAAGGTGATTTAAATTAGATTTTTATGTTATAAAAATGCCTCCCTTATAATGTTATTTTGAGAATAAAATAAACAGCATACGTAAATAATACAGCACAGTGCATAGCAAATATTAAGTGCTTGAACATGTGAATTCCCTTCATTACATAATCTATTCCTCCAGTTACTTTTTGTTCCAGTAAATTATAATAATGATGAATTAGCCATAAGAGCTGACTTATTTAATGCTGATACTAGGGAAAAAAGAAAAATATCTACATATATATTTACACACACACAATTCATATTCAAAAGGTCACATTAAAATTATCCTTGTTAGAGAAAGTTAGGTTAAAAATAGCAGAAACAGATATTGTGAGAAAGATTCTCTTTTCAAAACTGAAATGCCTGGTCCTTAAAACTGACACATGTATATATTTCAGTGGACCCCAAAATGTGGCTGAGCCATGGGTCTTGGGTCTTATTTTGGAAATTGATAGTCTGTATTGAAAGCACACCTGCACACACACAAACACACACACACACACACACACACACACACACACACACACACAGAATATCTCCAAGTAACTCTGAGAAGTATTAAATCAACCACTAGTGTAATGATAGGACATATAAAAGACTGTTCTGGTATGTAAAATACTATGGGCTAAAAATTAAAGTAGTTCTTTCTATTGTTTTTGGACTATTCAATAGTATCTTGAGTTTTGAACCATAGAGGACAAAACAATGTAGAAACTTTTTAAAAATAAACTTCATCCTTTATTTTAAAACTTTGCACCTGAGAAAATGCAAGTGGTTTTGTCTTCCTTCTATAAGAAGGTTTTTTCTTTTGCCTTTGTGATACCACTTCTGACTTGTGAATGAAGGGCTTTATAAGCAGCCTTTTGGAAGCTAACTTGCTCATAAGTAGAAAAATGTACCTTTGATCAAGTGCTGAAATATAATAGGATAGGAATTTTTAGAGTCCCCATCCATTCTGGCTTAAGAGAATACTGCATAACTTGAAACCTCAGATGACTGAGTTAAAATCTATGTCACAATTACAGAAGTACTTCTGGTTCCAACATATTCTCTGCTGACATCTCCTTGCTTCTGTTGTTGAGATGTCCAGATCTTTTGCCCTCTTGACCATTGGGAATTATTTTTTCTGAGTAATGATCTTAATTGCTAACCCAGCCTTCAGAAAAAAAAAAAGAAAATAAACTAATGATGACTACTGATTTTTTAGCCATCAACTTAAGATGTTTTAGTTCACTTAATATTCACTATAAGTGCATGGGTTTATTTTTATTATTTGTTATTGTTATGATCATCACTATCTTTACAGATAAACACTTTGAGGTACCCTGTGGTAAATTAAATTGAGGTCACACAGCTATTAAATGACACAGAGGCAATTTAAAATCAAGCACTTGGCTTTTGAGCTCTGCTCTTGCTGCCAGTAGATATCCAACTTCTATCAAGACCATTCCTCTCTACATAGAATCTCATCTCAACTCTCCTGATCACTTGGGAGCAGGTGAGGCAGAAACATTAGCCATCTGCCTCTTCTATGTTCTTAGGACAGACAGACTAGGGTACTGCAGTCTGACAGACAGGAGATCAAATTCCAACTCTGCCACCTACTGGCTCTGTAATCCTGTTTATCTGTCAACTAGTTAATAAATATCATTACCCACTGCAAGCCAGAAAACTACTAGATGCTAAAGACAGGATAGTGAACAAAAGACTTGTACTTCTTTCCTCAAGGAGCTTACAGTAACCTAAAATGTGTAAAAATATGATTTTCATCTGCAAGAATGAACATTTATTACTTGCAGAATTATTTTAAGAAATGGATGAAATTATATATGTGTAAATTCTAACATCATGCTTTGGTATTTGATAAACCTTTCATTTTTCCCTACTCCTTTCTTACCTTGTAATAGAGGTAAACTCCTGAGCACTAGGTAAGGAAAATAAATAATTACTGTTATTCTTACCCCGAGAATAAAAAGAGATATTTTTCTACTCTAACCTCAGTATTTATGTTTTTCCAAACATTTCTAAATACTAGTATGTAAACAGAATTATTATCAATATTACTAATATCTAAACAAAATTATTCTCACTATGTAGGAATGTTTAAATTACTATTTTAATTGGTTATAGATAATTGTTAGTGTTACATTTTTGCCTAATCTTTACATAGACAAAATTAGAAACTAAGCTAAAGAATTAAATCTGATAATGTTTATGTTAGTTGACTAATCCCCCCATTGCTCTAAAAAGTCTGGCCAATATTTTATATGGAAAAACAAAACAAGTACATCAATATTGCATAAATATGTAAAGTTTTTTAAATTAGGAACTGTCCCTGCTTCTATGTTTATCTGTCCATATTCTGTGTCTCTGTGTACTTCTGTATTTCTCTTTTTCTGTTTTCCATGACTGTGTCTCCTTCTTGTAGAGCCATAAAATCCTTATCTATAATGCAATGAGACCTGGCAGAAGTAAAGAGGAGCAGCTGAAGCAGATGGCCAGTTCTTTGCTGTGCACTACTGTAGTGTTGCATGAAGATAAAGGATTCTTTTTTTGTTGTTCTATTGATGTGGTTGGGAGCAAGGGAAAATAAGGAAATTAGAGAACAAGAACCCAGTAATAATGCAGGTACCTGGGGCTCATTCTGATTGGCAGTAAAGAAATATCAAGTTCCAGTGTGGGACGTTGGGCAATGAGACCTGTTTCTGGGAGGTAACTACATCAAAGTCCCAGCTGTTTGGGAGTTCAGATGGTGATTGTGGTGCTTAAATATTTCAACTACATCTTGGCTTAATTGAACCTCACTTGTAATAACTGCATCATAGTTGAAGAGGTAGAAAGCAGGACCAATGGCACTTAAACTAGGAATAACAGCAAGCAATATGTTTTATAGAGTCTTCACAAAAACAAAACCAACTTCAATATTAAAAAAAGCTTCTATAACCACCTTATTCATGCTTTTTTTCTGCAAGTCTATTGCTGAAGTTGCATCTGTATTTATATATTCAGAGACTTTACTGGTTATCCTGCATTTTATCATGTGCAAGAAATTACTTATAATAAACAGTTCTTAGTAGGGACAAAAGAATGATCAGGTGCATATTAATTTTTATATAATTTTCATTTTATTGTTTATCTGTTTACAATTATACTAATGTCAAAGATTTAAGATAATACTCATGTATTTTGTAACTTCTAATGAGATATGAAACTTGAAAAAGTGAAAAATTACAATTAACTACATAGCATTTGATCATGTAATTCTTTCTATAAAGTAGTGTTTTATTAGTTGTGAGACAAGTTGACTCCTAAGCTCTGCTTAACTTCGTTATTTTTAGAAATTAATCACCCTTGAAATGTTTGTAACACTTGCCAGCCTAGGTAATTTGTAATTTCTGCAGTAATATAACAATTTTTATGGTCAAATACATTATAAAGAAAAATCTATGTCATGGTAATGATATATGAGGATACTACCAACACACCCAACACCATC